CGAGAGCTGGCTGGGGAATTCTGGGAGTTGAAGTCCACAGGTCTTAAAGTTGCCAAGGTTGGAGATCACTGCTCTAGTCCAACTCCCTGCTCAAGCAGGACAGGTCCTAGACCACTTGAGATAAATGGCTCTCCAGAAGAGTGTGGCTCTTCTTAAAAACCTCCAGTATTGGAGCCTCCACAACTCCAGGAGGCAGGCTGTCCCACTGGTTAATTGTCCTCACGGTCAGGAAGTTTCTCCTTAGTTCTCGGTTGCTTCTCCCCTTGATTAGTTTCCATCCGTTGCTTCTGGTTCTCCCTTCTGGTGAGCTCCTTTGCGGCAAACCCTCAAATATTGGAAGACTCCTATCATCTCACCCCCTTCCTTTTTATTAAACTAGGCAAATCCAAATTCGTGCAACCGTCCCCCATACTTTTTTCGTCTCTAGCCTCCTAATCGTCTTTGTTGCTCTTCTCTGCACTCTTTGCAGAGTCTCAAATACCTTTTTTTTTATAACGTGGCGACCAAAACTGGATGCGATATACCAAGTGTGGCCGTCCCAAGGCATTACGAGATCGTACTTGGGATATTGCATCCCGTTTCGGTCTTCCCGATCACTTACTTCTCCCGGGTTTGCGAACTTCTTTCATAACCTTGATTTTGATAACCTCGTTGTTCCCTTCAAACATATTGGATGTGATTTTCACTGAATTTGGCACAGTTCCAGAAGCTGGCTCCACCAGTAGCTTTTGGTCTTCGGCGGACATGCTGTAGTTTAAAGGGCCCCGTACGAGGGAATTGACCATGGGTCTATGGTCCAGCCCATCTTCCCCAACACAGTTCAGTTCACCGGTCAAAGAGTCCATATCGTTTGGCAGTTCTTCGTCCACCACGGCGGCCGGGGACGGAGGAACAAGATGCACCAAAGGTCCGTCCCCTGGTTTGTCCAGCGGCTGGGAGTTCTCGGCTTTCTTTTCACCGTTGCCGTCTTGAACCGTGTTGCTGTTTGCATCTGCAAGAGAGAAAGCTTGGCGATGAGTTTCAAAAGTTGGAAGGCACCGAAGAGAGTTACAAAATGCGTGACCCGTCAAAACCGCGGTCCACTAAAGCGCGCCCGATTAAAGCGCGTACCTGACGTCATCAGCAGCGCGACAAATAAAATTAAAAATAAATTAAATTAAAATTAAAATAAAATTAAAGCAAGCCGATTCACATAAAGGTAAGGGTTAGGATTAGGGTTGGGTTAAGGGTTAGGGTTACGTTAAGCGTTAAGGTTAGGTTTAGGGTTAGGTTAAGGGTTAGCGTTAGGGTTAGCGTTAGGTTAAGGGTTAGGTTAAGGGTTAGGTTTAGGGTTAGGTTTAGGGTTAGGTTAAGGGTTAGGTTTAGGGTTAGGTTTGGGGGGATTAGGTTTAGATTTACGCATTAATTTTAAGTTTACCGCTCACAGCGTGCTGTTTTCGTCGCGCTGTGATGTCACGTACGCGCTTTCGTCGAGCGCGCTTTAGTCTACCGCGGTTTTGTGGTGGAACCTACAAAATGATCACACAACCCACATCCAGAAACGGAAGAAAGCTGACAGGACACAAACTCTTCACAAGGGAGGCCCTTTGAAATTGTATCGGAAGCCTGGCATCCCAAATGCACAGCAACTCAGAAAAGTGACACAATTCTACACTACGGCACAGGTAGTCTTTCACTCACAACAGTTCACAAAGTTACAACGGGACTGGAAAAAAAGGGGGACCTATGACCGTTTTTCACACTTATGACCGTTGCCGCATCCCCACTAGTCATGTGGGCGAGTATTTGGATGCTCGACAACTGTCTCGCTTTTATGACGGTCGCAGTGTCCTGGAGTCACGCAACCACCTCCTGCCAAGCAAAGTCAGGGAGGAAACCGACTCACTTAACAACCGGATTACTAATTTAACAGCTGCGGTGATTCACTTAACGAACGCCGCAAGAAAAGTCGTGAAACGGGGCAAAACTCAACTCTACAAATTTCTCACTTGGCCACGTAACTGTTGAGGGCTCAATTGTGATCATTAAGTCACAATTTCGTGTTTTAACGGCATCAGGATTTCTAGGGGAGGGGGGGGGCTCAGCAATTACACAGGAAAGGTATCCTGATAAACACAGGTTCTTGGCAAAGTTTGTTAGTCTGGGTGCCACTTTAGATCTTTAAGCCCCGAGTAAAAGGTTTCCAGCATCCAATCCAATCAAAGAAGAAAAATATCTCAAAATAACGCAACTTTTGCTAGGACAGGCTGTGTCTGTAGCTTTGAACAGCGGCCTGAAAAGCTGATCCAGGTAAGTCTCTTTCCCTTCCTGTTGTCCTGCAGAGCACACCTGAATTAGGGGAGCCCCCTGCTGGTGAACGCGAGGAAGAACAGTGATACACTCCCCCCCCCACATACACACACACACTCATAAAAACAGAGGTGTTTTCATTCAGGAAATGCGTTACAGCTCCAACTTTCAAAAGTACCATTAGCGTGCACCCTCTTTCCCCAAGAATAAGCCCTACCCCGCAAAATAAGCCCTACTCGAGCCTGTTCGGCTGCCAGGATGCTTGCGATGCTGTAGCCACAAGGCAGGGTGGTGGAGGAGCTGCCTCAGGGACCCCACAGCCAGGCCCACCACACCTCAACAGAACCGGCAGCCATGTGCAGCAGGAGCCCAGGTGGCCCATGACCAATTTCTTCTGCTTGCTCACAGCCGTAACGGATGTCGAGCGGTGTGCTGGTGCCATGGCCGCGAGACAAGGCCTGCGTCGGGGTGTGGATGGCCTGGCTGCGGAGGCCCTGAGGGGGCAACATGGGGCAGCTCCATCTCCCCCTACCTCATGGTGGTGGCGGCACACAGTACGGCCTCCTGCCCCACCATGAGCCAAGCAGAAAAGGGCCTCCCTTTTTCTTTTAAGATGCCTCCCGAAAATAAGCCTTAGTTCTAAATTTGGGACTCAAAAGAAAACCCGGTCTTATTTTTGGAGAAACACAGGTGTGTACCAGTGGTGGGTTGCTGCCATACCAGTGGTGGCCTGGAGCAGCTGAGAGCATACCGGTACGGTGATTCCTTTGGCCCAGCCGCCCGCCCGCCCGCCCTCGATAGCTGTATTCATGCCAAAAGGCACACAGTATATGGAGACTGTGCGCGCTCCGACAAGCATCTGGGTGTCGCAGGAGCGGTGGATTGCTCATACATGCACAGTGTACGTCAGGCGTGTGCACGGACAGACCACGCTCAACGTACCGGTAGCGACAGTAAGAGCAACCCACCACTGGTACGTACAAGGAGGTGCCCGGTGCATCTCTCTCGGTCTCGTCTGCACCCTGCAGTGGGGAAGGTCTACCTCTGTACCCGCAGAGTCCGATTTTCGGGGAGGGTCACAGCAAGGAGGGCACAAATACAATACAACAGCAGAGTTGGAAGGGACCTTGGAGGTCTTCTAATCCAACCCCCTGCCTAGGCAGGAAACCCTACACCGCTTCAGACAAATAGCTATCCAACATCTCCTCAAAGACTTCCAGTGTTGGGGCATTGACAACTTATTCGCCAATGAAGGATCGGAACTCTGGCATCTGGGCAACTGTATTTATTTAGTTCTTTAGGACTTTGGTGCCGCCCGCCTGGTCTAGAGGCGGCTTAATACCTTTATAAGCTGGCGTGGTTTTAGCATTCGGGCTGGATGGGGGCCCGGCAGCCGAGGGCGACCCTTTCCCGCCAACGTGGTTGGCTACGACGGGCGGCGACTGCGGCCGTCTTAAGAACGGGGACATGCTGCGCCTTCTCTTCAGGGAGGCCGGCGTGTTGGGCTCTCCTGGACGTTTGACTTTGTTCTGAGGACCGGCGACGAATTCATCCGCTTCATCAATCATCATTCCCTGAGAGGAAAACGAACACCGTCCGTATAACCCACAAAGGACGACGGGGCGGCTCCTCCCGGTGAGGAAAGGGATGATGGAGTCCAGGGTTTGGCCAGCAAGCAGAGCCCCCCCCACCCCCCCCCCGCCGCCTACCTTTTTATCCTGCTTGAAAGGGTTTCCGAAAGTGTGA